ACAGTTTTAGGCCCCGCCCCTTCCCCTTCTTGATAAAAATATACATTTGATATTTTTTAGATGTTGATTTTTTAGGAATTTAGTTTTTATCACTTATTTGAGGCTTAAAGAAAAGTGTCATGTTACACTGTGATTGACAGCCTTTTAGCGCATTGGGAGGGTTTGGACATTTGTATCGATGGTACTGCCCACGTCCCGAGCAGCTCCAAAAATACAACATGGCTTCTCCCAAAAACGTGACGTCGGCTTCTGTTTCAAACAACACTTTTCAACGTTGTTTCAACAAACGACGCTTCTTTCATTTTTTTTAAAGTCATTGTCTACAACTGAACAACTTTTTTAAATGTCAGTTCGATTCAAGATGGCTGCCACAGCTAACACAAACATGGCTACTACTCAATGAATTTTACAACTATCGAGCTCTAATTTGCTTTAGTTGTAGATGAGACTGATCCCAAACACTCACGGCGCTTGCGTAGGTATTTTTCAAAGGTTTGACCAAAACATCTCAACCTAAAATAATCTTAATTTTAAACAAAAAATATAGATTTTAATGTAAATTACACCAGTTTTAATCTCACAACACTGAAAGAACACTGCAAAGGTGTTAAATTTGAATTTGTGACAAAAATCCCTTTTTGTTTTATCTGGATATTGGTATTTAGTATAGATTTTCACAATTTTGTCGACTTATGCAACAAAGTATCATGGATGTGCCACGCTAAGCTTCGTCATTTTAGGTCAGTTGTCTCATTCTTGGTTAACCTCGTCTTCATCAGCTTAGTTCAATGACTCGGTGACTCCACATCAAACTGTCATCAGGTTCTTTACCGGCTGCTCTGAGGTTCCATGTTTTCACATAAAACACCCTCGTCTTCACCACATGGCCTTTCACATCCTGCTTCCTCCTCTTCATACCTCCATGAAACATCAGGGAAGTGCTGGCAGTCAGTCCGTTGATCAGTTCTCCAGGGACGAGTTAGTTTCAGCCTCAGGGACACGGGTCACCGGCTAAACTTTGGACTCTTGTGTTTTCTTCGCTCCCTTCTCATCCTCCCACCGTCTCCCTGCCTCGTGCCCCACTCTGCCCCTCCTTTGTAGAATAATGTTTCACAGATGCTTCTTAGCCCGTACCGCCAAAAATAACAGCCAACTGCACCTTTTCTGACATTTTCCAGTGTACTTAGCTAACATTTAAATTTTTGTTTTACAGCTTTGTACTGATAGAATGATGCTAATAAAGATGCTAATTAACTTCTACTGCTAATCATCGTAAGATTAATGTTCAAGAATGGCATAGGACTTATTTTGTCCTAGGTTTTAGTGTGTGGTAAATGCTAACAGTTACCCACAAACAATGCATGAGCAAGGGTTAGCTGTTAGCATGCACAGAAACTAAGCTACACAAGGTGGAAAATGAGTCAACACAGCAGTCGTTTTATTTCAAACACAGGATGATTTTATACTGCAAGGGAATGCAACCTGATGGCTAACGTTTGTTTGTTGGCTAATATTTGGCCTTGTTTGACCCAGCTTTTGTGCATTCTAAATGCTAACGGTTATTCGGTCGGTGATTAGCATTTAGCATGCACAAAAAGCTAGGACGAGCAAGGCCAAATATGAGTCAACAAACATTAACATTGACCTTAATAACACCCCCCATCAAATCATTAAGAAATAAGTATTTTTTAATTTAAAATTTGGGGTAATACCATGTTTTAAGGGACAGCTTTGGCTAATTTTTATGCTAGTTGGCCAATATGCGTCCTTATTTAGCTTGACTTTTTGTGCACGCTTAACGTTAACAGTTACCTACAGAGAATCTACGACTCTGGGTTAGCATTTAGCGAGCACAATAAGTTAAGCCAAACAAGGCCAAATATTGGTCAACACACAAACCTCACTTGCATTGCTAAAAATTAGCCGGCACATACTGTAAACACTAGCATTTCTTACCAATTAAGAAACAGATCTTTTTGATTTTAAAATACATGTATACAATGATTTTGTATTTTAAGGGATGGTTTGAAACACCAAGGCTAATGTTTACACGTGCTGACTAATGTTTGGACCTGTATGCTAACAGCCAAGCTAACCTTCGTTTTGACCAGACAGCAGTGAAAACACAGGCTGTTGGTCCAGTCAGTGCTTAGACTTGTTTGTGGGGATTTATAGAACAGTCATTAGTAACTGCTTCTGCTCATTTATAATGAGTAATTAACCCTCAAAGAGTCAAGTACAGCATCGGTTCCAGTCACTGGTCGAAGGCTGATTGTGTAGACATCGACCGTTGGAACAGAAACTGCTTACTGCTTCTCTTCAGACCCAACACTTTCTGAGTCGCGTTTGTCTTTCAGTCCAACTTTAGCATGAATTAACTTCCTGGGAGAGAGGCCATTGCGCAACTTTGTGCTGCTGCTGGTTTTCACAAGACAAAAGTCATTTTGTCTGTTTTTGTTGTCACCTTCTTGGTCTGCTACAACCTGCCTCTTCCAGGCAGCCCCCATCTTTGGACCTTTTCTGTGTAAACCATTTATTGTCACTTTGTTTATCTAACCCAGCAGTTATCCAGCAATCAAAGGAAACTTCTGTTAGCACTTGGCAATGATTTGTCTTGTATAAATTACCATACACACCTTGTATTTTGACTAAACTCTGGGTCTCTCTTTGTTTTGCTGTAGAATTAAGTAGTGGCTGATTTAGTTTTCCTTCTGTGTATTGGTGTAAATAGACCAGCTGTGTCACAGAAATCTTTACAAAATGACAGAGAGCTGAAACGTTTAGCATTTAATATATGGAAACCTGCATATACTGCAGGATCGAAGAAGTGGAAAGCCAACTAGAAAAATTAGCATATTCTACAAAAATGCAGTCTGAATGTTTCTTGCTGAAGGATTTTGCTGAAAGCTGCTGAAAAAGCTAAAACCAAGCTTATAAATTTCCAATCGCTGAACTGTCACTAATTCTTTATGAACAGTTGAAAATGTAGCCAAAAGTGGTGGAATGATTATCGGAAGTGCTAGCAAATAGCAAGGAAAAGCTGTCTGAGAGTCAGAAGTAGCGAAACGCTAACAAAAATGCAGGAAATGTTAGCTTAGAGTCAAGTAGCTGAATGCTAGCAAATAGCAGGAAAAAGCTAGTTAAGAGTCAAAAGTAGCTAAACGCTGACAAAAACCAGGAAGTTGGTAGCTAAAACCTACAAATAACGAAATGCTATGGGGCTGCGGTAGCTCGGTGGACAGTGCCGTGGTTCTGTAATCCTGAGATTGTGGGCTCGAGCCCAGGTTGCGTCAGGAAGGGCATTCGGCGTGAAACAAATTGCTAAATCTTTCATGCGAGTTTGCTCGCTGTGGTGACCCCTGAAGAAGAGCACAGCCAAAATAAGCGCCCTTATTACCGGTACTTACTAGCAAATCACAGAAAAAAGCTAGCTTAGTGTCAAAACTTGTGAAAAGCTAGCAAAGAAGCAGAAAATGCTAGTTAAGAGTCAGAAGTAGCAAAATGCTAGTAAATAGCGGGAAAAAGCTAGCAAACAGTCAAACGTAGCAAATGGTGACATGGCGGACGCTCGGTGATTTGAGCTCTTTAGCATTTTTCACACAAAGCTTTTAATAAAAAAAATCATTAAACAAGTTCTCAACTTCTTTTTGCAGAGGAAAAACAACTTTTTACACAAAGGCACGAGTTTCAACCATGAATTTTGGAGCTTCGACAAGACGGAGGTTTATTCCCGAGGTCGGCCTGTTAGCTTAGCTCGTAGCTTAGCTTCTCAGCTTAGCTGCTTTTAACGATACAAAAAGCGATTTTGGATCGTTAAAACAGATTTTAATGAGAAACGGCGGGGTCAGTGAAGAGCACCGGAGTTGAGTCTTTTATCGTCCAGTGTCTTCAGTAGAAAGAGAGAGACACGGAGAAACGATAAAGCCGATAAATGAAAATGAGGTTGATAATTTTCATTTATCGGCTTTCGATTAATTGATTTATTGTTTATCGCGATACGTCTAATACCCGACGAGGTAGACGCTCACTGTTGAAGGCACTGTGATGTCAGACACTTTGAATGGAAGTCTGCTCTGATTTGTCAGAAAGAAAGAAACAAATGAATTTACTGATTGGAGATCCGTCCGTCTGTTATAACTGTGGTACTTAGATCGTACTTTCTGAAGTAGTACTCAAATGAAAACTTTAAGAACCACCACCTAACAGTATACTTGCAGGGCGTCATCGCCTGATGTACCTCCAAACACCTCAACCGTGTGTATTTGATGCATTTATGGATGAATCCATCTTACAAACCGCCTCACCTCCACCTCGCCTCGCCTTCTGTGTAAAAGTTTATTTTTCTGCTTATGAACGTTTATGTTTTGGAAGATAAAATGATTTTAGGTTTGTTGCGAGATGAGTGTAATTGTTTAATAAAAGACAACTGGACGGAGGAAGAGTCACGGAGGCATGAAGGACTGGTGATACTCTAGATGGATTATCAGATCTATGTTTCTATAAATAGCACATTCTGTCCTTATCGGATCTCCTCCTTTGTCTAATTTCTTTAACCTGATTGCTGCTCTGCCGGAGTTCAGAGGAGGATCCAGACAACCTCCCTTCCAACTCTTTGTCAGCCTCCGACTGATAGTTTAGCCTTTGTGGCGTAATCCCATTAGCAAATCATCTTAAACTGATCCTCATCCTTTCAGACGTGGGGAGAGGTCGTCTGACGGGACGAATGGGGGAGCTGAGGGAGGGAAGGGAGGAGGATGGCAGCTCTGCTTCAGAGTCACATGACTGATTTGTGTCTGTGGCAGGGTGTGCAGGCAGCAGGCCAAAGTCATCCTTCCCTCCCTCTTGTTCTGGATCTCTCCTTTGAACTCGTGCGTTTTGTTCTGCGCGGATGATGGTTGCGTATCTTTGCAGGAGTTGCAGCATCGGGACGCAGATGTTGACTCAAAGTTTGTCCGTTTGCCGTCACTAACCATGTCCTTCTTGTGTTGCTTCTTCCTCAGGGACTATGGCTCCAAGCGTAAATCAGGTAAGTTACCATCCGTCCTCCAGCCTCCTTTCTTTTCCTACTTGTTGCTCGTGAGCGAGTTCCTCCGGAGGATCTAAAGGAGCTTTATGCTGCATGACGTCTTTAATGTGTCTCTGCGTCCCGTCTCTGGTGTCTCTGTGGTTTGTTTACATTCCTGCTTACTGTTGATTGTTCAAACCGTCAGCCCCCACCCTTTTGATTTGCCTGAAAGTTCAGGGTGGAGTTTGAGGAGCTCTTCGGGAGGCGGAACAGAGTCGTCAATTTTAATCCTCGTCATGCTCAGATTTAGAAATCTGACGTTTAAAGGATTGTTTTCTTTCAGCTGCAGTTCTGGTTGAAGCTCTTTGTGTCACATAATGAAAGTAGTATTCTTTGAATAAATGCATATTGACCATCAGCTGCACACAAAAGGCTTTAAATTATGACATGGCACAGAGTATGTGTTGGGGATCACTCCCAGCTACTACCACGCCAAATTTCAGCTCAATACTTTTGAGTTATAACTATTTTTTATATTTGCTATGGTTGATTAGCAGTGTCAGCCCTTTTTAACATCTTGAGATTCAGCACTGGTAACCATCTTAGACAATGCATGGCTGAATTTATCAGACAATAGATGCTGCACGACAGTATCGGATGTGACTAATACCTGGATTTCAGAACCTTGCTTTTGACAGTGCAAGCCTTCGTTCCTCTTATGAATTATTGAGGAGCAAATTCAGGAAATAGCTTGTGGTTCATGGAAAATATTCTCTTACAGGCAGTATGAAAGGCAACTAAGTCTTGATATTAACAGAAAGTAGCTTGAAGGTTTTAAAATCAAAAGGATTAGAAGTCTTTAATTTGGCCTATTTAACGTTTTGACAAAAATTAGAGGTGATTTATTTAAATAAAAAATAATAATTTTAGAAATTGTATTTTCTGTGAAAATAAAGCAGGAAGGCTGAGTGGTAAGTGAGTGTTGAACAGTGATGTGTTAACTGCAACAAGCAGAAAAGAAGCTAAAATTGGCCAACAGTAGCTATAATTCATAAAACAGTAGCTAAAATTAGCAAAATACATGCTAAAACTAGCAACCCATAGTTCAAATTAGAAAAACATACTGAAACAAGCAAAACATGCAAAAAGAAGAAAATTGTGGCTACAATTAGAAAAACACATGCTAAGTACATGCTAAAACAAAGAAGTCGCTAAAAGTAGCAAAACATGCAAAAGCAAGCAAAATAGTGGCTAAAACATGAAAAACATGCTAAAACATGCTAAAACAAGATAAATACATGCTAAAATAAGAAAACCACATGCTAAAATAAACAAATAGTAGCAAAAAGTAGCAAAACACATGCTAAAACAAGCAACCAGTAGTTCAAATCCAGGTCTCTCTTGTAAATGAGTCCTCGAGACTCAATGTTATTAACCTGTATAAATAAAGGTTGAATGAACATTAGAAAAACATATTGAAACAAGCAAAACATGCTTAACAAGCAAAATAGTGGCTACAATTACAAAAGCACATACTAAAACAAGGTAAATGCATCTAAAACAAGAAAAACACATTCTAAAACAAGAAAAAAACATGCTAAAACAAACAGACGTTGCTAAAAGTAGCAAAACATGCAAACCCCCCCCCCCCAAAAACCAGTAGCTAAAATTAGCAAAACAGTTTCTAAAAACAGTTAAAACAGCACAGAATACCCAGAAGTAGTTTGGGTCCAAACAACATCTGGAAGAAACCCATAGAGGGAAACGCTTGTTGAATGCTGACTCATCATCCACAGAACATTTTGCTCATTTTTAGGCCAGAAACAAACTGTTCTCCTGAATGAGTTGGTCGTTGGTCCGGTCCACATTCCTCGAAGAGATTTGATTTCTTGGAAGCTGTTTGCTGCTGCATAAAATGGCCGTTTAGGAGTTTTTTCTGAGTGCAGAGCTTTCTGCTGTGAAACAGGTGGCTGCTGTGAGGGAGCCAACTTCAGTCTTTGACAGGTTGCCCAGTTGGACGCTGCTCCGCTGACCCACTGATCTTCCACCAACCCTTCGAACAGGAAGTCAGTCCAAGCAGTGAGACGATTAACTGTTAGGTCCAATCTGTCAAACTCTGAGTAAATATAAGAACCAGGAAAGAAAACTAAAGAAAGGTGGAGGTAGTTGGAGTGAGGACAGAGTGAGATGGAGGAGGAGGACTCGCTGTGGAGACCCCTCAAGAGGGAACAGCTGAAAGAAGAAGACAGTGACGAATATAATGAAGACAATAAAGACGACAACGATGAAGAAGAAAAGAGGGATAAAGATGAAGATGACAATGACAAAGAAGGCAAAGATAATGAAGTTTAAGATGATCATCTGTGGTTCATGAGATGTTGTGCTAACAGACACAGACGCCCTTAAAGGTGCAGGTGATCGTTATGTTCTGCAGGTGATGCATTTCAAATGACTCTAATCTTTAATCCGAGTCCAAACCCTGCAGGGGTCAGACGTTTGTGTTCAGCCATTGGGGGTCGGCTCCAGCCTGCAGCTCCGACTCCCCCATGTGAGGAACAGATTCAGGGTTTAGGGAGGGGGGTTCTGTTGGGTCTGTTGAGGCCAGCGGGGGTCAAAGCTGTCAGACAGGAGCTGCCTTGTTCACGTGGCGCAGAGGGTCAGGTTTCAGGACGGTCACGCTTAGGAAGAGGGGAGGAGGGCTGTAATTTTAGGTGTGTGTTGGTGTTTTACAAATGTAGTTGGTTTGTAGAGACAGGCGGTTACCAGGATCCCCTCAGACCGACCATTACCTCTCTGATTAGAGCAAAAAGATTTCATCACATCGACACACGTGTTGAAGATGCAGAGCTCAGAGCCACGTTGCATGACAGCGTGTCTGCCAAACCCAGGGCTGAGGGTTTGGACAGAAGGGACGGTGCTCATTGTGGGACAGATGTGGTCTGGGACAGGTTTGACCTCATCCCTAGACGAAGACTTCCCACTCACAGCACGCCTGGAACCATCCGTCACAAGACTCAAAGCAAGAGGAGCAAAGACACAACTGCTGACACAAACAAAACATGTCTACACACATACGCGCACACACACACAAAAACACTGGGGGACAGATTGGGGGCAGGTTAATGACGAGTGGTGGGAAAAGTTAGATCAAACCATCAAACTTACGATTGTCCAAAGATGAATTGTTCCAGAGACAGAACCGCCCATGAAGGAATGCACATCACCGGCCGCCACATTCTATGACAGGGTTATGGGCAGTTTCCAGGACAGAGAGGGTCTACTGTAGCCCCCCTCCTGCAGGTTTTGGGTCTGGATTAGGGTTTCCTCTGAGTGGGACGTAACCAGAACATCTCCAGAGAGAGAGATGCCCGTATCAGACGGTTGAAGCATCATCTCCCTGGATGATGATGCTCCTCATCCGTTTGCGTTCACCTGTCCTCGTGTTGAGTTTAGCCGTCTGCAGGTTTTCACTGGAGCTGTACTGGTGCTGATTTTCTAACGGTTGGTTCAAAAGACAGGAAGAAGAAACAAGAGTGAGGGGTTTGTCGTCACCTGAGGTGCAGCTTTTGAATTATCCAAATGCTGACAGCAGCAGGTCTCCCCACACAGTATTTTCTTCAATCAAGACTCAAAACTCTTTTTTTTGTTGTTTGTTGCGTTTGGCGCCACTGTTTTAAACGGCAGAGGTGTGCACGGTGGCGTGCACAGGCAGTCTAGTCTGCGTGTGCTTGTCTGCTAATTGTACGTCGCATGCAAACTGGAACAAGTCTGCTTTTGTCTGAAGGCCGAGGCTGGCTGGATCCAGGGTCTGGTTCTTTTGATCGTGATCCAAACCTCATGACCACAGGTGAGGGCTGGAACTGGAGCCAGGATCAGGTTCACACATATGATGCTGGGTTCACCTGAATCACTCAATGTTAGCACCCCGGCTCACTTGAGTCGTTCATGCTGCGCACGCTGAGTCTTGGACATATCTGTAGTCTGCCAGAGACCTTGGAGGATCTGGGTTTATTTAGACCTCGGATTTGTGGGTCCTGGTTCAGTGTGAGGGTTCTGTTCTTTAACCTGGGTTGATCAGAAACCAACCAGCTCTAGTTGGACCTAAGACGGATGAGTAAATTCAGAGTTTTGCCTTTCACGTCAGCTCCTCCGGCATCGGGAATGAGATTAACTTTGTGTGATGATTGTGGCCACAGGCGTGACCTGCAGGAGAATAAAAACTAGATGTTTTATTAGTGTCTGACTGGTTCTGTTGGACCTGAGTCCCATAAGCATGAGGTTTTAAACCATGTGTCCAAATTTGACAGGAAGTCAGAGTAGAGACGTTGACAAAAGAATAATGTGATCTCTGCTCGCGGAACGATAGTCGGGCAGCAGCGTTGCCTTTCAGCAGGAACTGACGTGGACCAGCCTGAAGGAGACCAAGTCTTGGTCCAGGTCTTTCAGCATCACTTTGAGTCCGAAATGCTTCTAAATTTGAATGTTCCAAAAGTTAGACAGATAAGTCCTGAGGTTTCACTCTAATTTTCACCAAATCAAACTTTATTTATAAACTACATTCAGGAATCTGCCAGAACAGGATCCGGGAACTCTCTTATTTTGACAGGGTGCATTCCGGTAACTGTTTGCTTGGATCCGGCAGCTTTCAGGCTTAATAATAATGAAGTTGTGAACAAATTTGACTGCCTTGAACGAATAAAACTTATATTGGATATGTAAACTGAAAATAATTACATAAACACAAAAACCAATTACGACTTCTTAATATCACATAGCTGCTTCAAGTAGCATTTCCACCTCTATCCTGAAAAAATCTCCGTCCCTTAAAGAGTGGTGGGGGTGAGTGTCGAGCTAACCAGGCAGCCGCCCACAGGCAACCGCCATGAACAGACGGAGGAGGCGCCTGGGGGTTTCACATGTTGAGTTGGACAACAATGAGCAGGAAAGTGAATTCAGCGGAGAAGAGTCGGCTCGGAACCATCAAGTAAAGGTGATGGTGGGTGGGGGTGTAGGATGCTTGA